GAAAATTGTTACAATTTGTAGCTTATATTCTACTAATTATGCAGTTGACATGTATATATTTATAACAAGATTTTTGGGAAACAAGCATTAATTGTGTGGAAAACATCTAAACGATGAGATGAAGTATTTAATAAATATTGTTTTTACTACAATTAATTATTTACACATAGATAGTGAAATATAATGCAAATAACAATACATATAAATATCCAACAGAAAATTATGAATTTTAAAACATGAAATATCACACTGATTTCTTTAAAATGTTCAAAATATTTTTAATTAAATTATTAATAAAATATAAATATAGAAAACACAAGACATTTATGTACATACATAATAATACTTAATAAATCGTTAATTTACACTTTCACCAAATACGTTTTAATTATTTGATATAATCCCTATTTTGAACATACTGAGGTTTCCAAACAAATTGAAATCGTTCGTAACGATATTTCGCCAAAAACCAACATGCTGCATCACCAAACTTTCTCCCATCATCAAAAAGTTGCAGAATTCCGTGTATCAACACTACTGCTCGCAAATATGAATAAACCAAAAGGAGGGTTAGGATTCAGTGAAAAAGTGATATAAATGCAAAAAAAACACGAGTAAAGTTAACCCACAAAAAATTGAAAAATCTGTGAAATATTCCAAGTATCGAAACACTGTATTTTACGTATTTTTAAAGGCTAGGGACAACGAATCATTCGAATAAAGTAAATTATGTACGAATTTCACGTATATCTTGCACTATCAATTTCCAACCTCAGGAAAAGAATGCACTCGCGCTGCTTTCTCTTCGTTTAACCTCGACGTCGATAATACACGATTCGTTTATGATTACAAGAGGCGAAACTCGCCTGGGTTACTAATACACGCCGAAAAAGGCGCACTCGATAAATCTCTGCGACGTGCACGTGCGATTCTATTAGCAACGATTCGTCTGCGATCGCTGCGGTGGCGCCACCGTCGTCAATCGTATTCGTTCTTCGTACGGAACGTCTCATCACCATTGTGACCGATGCTTACCGATTGCACCCGGCGCATTCGTTGAACTGCGTGCACGGACGCGGACTTGGTACCTGGCTCGCGGCCAATGTTACGCAACGCATTAATTCAGCAACTGCGACAGATTTGCATGCGTTAGTAGCCGTGGATCGTCTACGGTTCGTGCCGCGTCCACACCGGCTTAGTTTTCGATAATTGCATCGACCGTTTCGCTCGATAGTTCGGCCAAAGTGGATTAAACGCGTGGCCCCTGGGTCGACGATTAATCGCGGAGGAGGCACGCGAACACGCTTGGGATCGATCAATGTAATTGACGGCGAGCTTCGCGGACACGGACCTTGCAAATGAAGAATGGTGCAGAACGTATCAGGGTATTATACCATTTTCCGTCGGCTGAATTTTTCGCCACGGCGACAAGGAACGCGCGTTTTCAGACGGTGAATGTAATCGGGGAAGGGGAGTACGGTGAAAGTAAGGTACAATTGCGATTGGCGAGAGATTGAATGGGGCACGGATGCGAATGGTGAAAGAGGAAGAAATAGAAGAAGAAAAAAGAGGATGATGAAACGTAGGTGGAGTTGAGTTTACGGGAGTGAAGCGAGAAGGTGAGGTTAGATGGATAAGATGAGGTTAGTGAGCTTGTGGGTGCTGGCAGGAAATAGAGATTTTCGAGTAGAATAATTCTGCGTGTAAGTGTCGAAGCAGTACAATTTATGATATGGCTACTGGACAAGGGTTTTTCTGACGACGCATTAAGCGATATAATCTACATATAGTCTACGAAGTGCGAATAGTTTGTTTTAATAAAAGGACGAAAAAATAGGATAACCATGATATTTGATTAAATACTAAATCTGTGCGAAGCATGTAGTCTTTCTCTCACCCTTTCTCGGACAGACTACATTTACACCATATATTACGTCGCACATATACGCCATATTTTACGTCGTACATATACGCGTTGGCGCATGCGCGAATGCTGTTTTACTATCTAGTCCAAAACAGAGATTCAGCGTGGAAATGAAATGAAAATAAGTGATACGTGATTACTGAATTAATGCGAGTTGAGTGACGTAGAATTTGCAGGTTGAATAACGCAGAACGAAATTTTCCGTGCGAAACTAAATTGAATTTGTAGAGGTTAAGCGAGATAGCGAAACGAGGCGGTGTTTTTCAGTGTTCTTCGGGGTAGAACGATGTAGATTTACATTTGCTGGACGTAATAAAGCGGAATTTGTGGAGGTCAAGTGAGAAAAAATATAGTGGTTTTTGTCGAGTGAAGTGGAATTATTAAATTCGTGGCAGCTGAAACAGAGATAGGAGTAGCGTAGACAGTGGCGTAGACTGAAATTTATCGTGCGAGGCAAAGTTGTATTTGTAGATTATTTTGTAAAAGTAAAACGAAGTTAAGTGACACTAAGTTACTGAAATTGAGGAGGCCGAGAAAAATAATTCTTGAAGGTGGGTTGATCCGGAAGATGGAGTTATCTTCGGTGTAATAATGTTCAAATTTGTAGAGGTCGGGTAAACAAGAATGCAGCTAAGTTGAGTTTGTAGAGTGAAGCAGAGTTGGTAAATTTGCAAGCTAAGGGTGAATGCGGAATTAAATTCGTCTAGTAACATAAGATCGAGTTTGCGAAAAATTTTAAGCATACCTTTAAAAAACGAGGACTTAATTCTTAATTTGAAGGAAACGAATAAAATGACGGGTAAGGTAGTATACTTTCTTGAAACTAGAATTCCTATAGGTAAGCACGATAAATGTAAGCAAATGGAACAGAAAAAGGAAGAAAATTTCAGGATGCTAATAACACAGAAACAAACCGGTGTTAACTCGAAGCTCGTGAAGCTGATAAACGAGGTTGTAATTAATAAAGATTAACTAACGCTACAATGCCGATGAAACTAACATTCTGACATATATAATTAATTAAAAGCTTCTGCCCTATCTGGAAGCTATACTTCCAATCTGAAATCATAAACACCTCTATCGTGAAATTATAAAATATTGCGAAACTTCTACAAAACGAACAATTATATTTTATCATAATAACAATAAAAAAACTGTATGTAAAATTCTTCTAAAAATCTATAAAATAAATGATTATTATTAATAATGCAATTATTAATATTAATTTCACTTGTAGAATCTTGTAATTCTCTCGTTAGGAAAGGTATAGGTTAAGAGTCGAATTTAAAAATTGAGGCACCGCCATTTTCTAGAAATTGCCCGCCCTTTTCCTATCTTCTGAAAGTTAGTTTTCGACGAAGAATAATTATATTTTATCATAATAACAATAACAAAAATTGTATGTAAAATTCTTCTAAAAATTTATAAAATAAATAATTATTATTAATAACGCAATTATTAATGTTAATTTCACTTGTAGAATCTTGTAATTCTCTCGTTAGAAAAGGTACAGGTTAGGAGTCGAATTTAAAAATCGGGGCACCGCCATTTTCTAGAAATTGCCCGCCCGGTTTCTATCTTCTGAAAGCTAGTTTTCGATGAACGTTAAATCGCCAGTATGCCCTGAATTCGACGGTAGCCCACACAGGGTGATAATATGTTCGAGGTTCCTCGGTTTTTTCGATAATTGCCGTCATTATCGTGGAAAGAAGCAGCCCGAGAGAAATCTTTCTTCCCGCCGGTCTATTCAGGGTTCAACGGTGCTCCACTTCGAGATATATCGATAGTGCGACCGCACGATTGATAACTCGCGGTGAACGAGAACGCGGCAAGCGTTAAATTTACGCTGAAATCGCGCTGTTGGTATTGTTTATTGTTTTGAGTAAAAAGCGTGATTTTTTGGTAAAAGGAGAGAGAGGATTCGTTACGGTGATATATTAACGTTATTAAATGTTAAAAAGTCTGGCACGTCCGGCAATTTTATGGTCATTAATTATTCGAACGATAAAAGCAAATTTATCTACCATTCGTTTGTTCCTTTTTTCTTTTTTTTTTTTTTTGTTTCACGTATCATCGTTGATGTATCACGATCATTATTAGGTTAAATAAAACATTTATCAAGAATTTCATGGTCGTTAATTATTCGAACAATAAAAGCAAATTTATATATGTACTTTTTATTTACTTCCCATTTCTTTTATATATTTTTCTTGAAGTTATATTATAATTATTATTATGATTTGATTGTCAGATTATGATCTGAATTTTCAAGTACTTCTGGTATTGCATAAAAAGCTTTAAAAGAATTTCTACATTAATGAAAATTGAATTTTTATTTAAACGAAAGTTTTTAATGACTTTTGTTTATAGTATTTCATGCAAAGTATGTTATTTATATGAAGTTTATAATGCGATCGAGTGAGAGAAAGTTTTCCTAGGATAATGAATTCAAAATGTCGCGAACAAAGTTAACTTCTTATTAATCCGAATATGCGAATAATAATTGAAAACATAGCGGCCGAATAACTTCTCCGTCGCAGTCCTCGAATAAACAAGTAATTTGCAAGCTCGACTGCGAGTTCATCTAACTATTCAAAGTAGTCGCGAAGAGAATTAAAACTTTCACCGGCTTGATTCGAGTCCCTCTTAACTTTTCAAGACAAAGTTCATTACCTCGATGTCGGTTCACGTTATGGTCAAACCATGCGTGAATTAATTCTTCCCAGTTTCTTCAGTTTTTCATCCATACTTCTCGATTGCTTTCACGGCGTATAACAAACAATTTAATATAAAAAATGTGAAAGATTAATAAATATACGTATAAAATTTTACTCACTATGTATTTTGCATAATACATATTAATATACGATATTATAAATAACGAAAATTTATATAATATATAATATAACGAAAATCCCATCGATGGTAGATATGTACGTATATGAAAACACTTTTAAAACTCGAGTGGATGAATGATAAAATTTATTAAATTTAAAATTTAAATATTTACTTTTTATTTATTAAAATTTAAAAATAATAAATTTAAAATTTTCATAAAATGGTATAAAACACTTACCGGTATATCTGGTATTCGGCATATAAGAGAAGACCATTTCCGTCCGGTTGAACAGGGTAATGAATAGGTGGTATTTCCCATCTGCATTGGAACGAGGCATGGTTGTGCCGTCTATGAGTCTGGAACATTTTGATGCACTTGTGCTTGTTACTGCCGCCAGCAGCAACAAAAAACTGCGGACGTCCCTTAAGCTTTTTACTCTCTGTGAAAAGGAAGTACAAGGTTGTCATTAAACCGTGTGTATATTTCGACGAGTAAACGTGAATTTTCAACGTTTCCTTACCAACACTCTTCTCTCACACAAACGACAAACCTCCACGGAGTATATTCATGAATCAGACTTTAAAACGAAAATTTATATTATAAAATTTATATTTATATTATAAAATTTATATTATAATATACGTAGGAATGGAATGAGTACGGCCCTGAAAGAATGTCAAGAGTGTTTGGGCCTAGAACGAAAGTGACCGCGTGCAAGAGGATTGATTGTAAAGAACGTTTATGATAGAGTTAAGTAAAAGTCTAGGGATGCGTCTAGAGTACTTAGTTAATACGCTAAGTGCCCACGTCGGTCCCTAGGGACCGATGCTAGTCTTTCCGTTTGGGCCCAGCCGGTCCCTGAGGACTAGTTCAGACTAGGACCAAAAGTTGCTAACTTTTGGTATTAAATTCTTCGCCATCTTTGGACCTAACGTTTGGAAATTCCTATTATAGCAATTGGTACAGTATCTCCAAGTTTTATGAACACTTCGCCCGCCACTGGTAGCCTACTAATGGTCAAGTCTGGGCCTGAACGGAACTTAACGTGTTAAAGTACCTGGCCCACCGAGGTTGCGTGGGAAAGGGCATGATTGAGAAAGAAAGCCTAAGTGTGAAAGAGGACAGAATGAATGGTTAAAAGTAAGGGTGCAAGAACGTGAGAAGACAGTTTTGAAGGGGTAGTCGATCAGTTTCAGTTTGCAAAGACAGTCCATCAATTACAGTCTATTAGTTACAGTTGGGAAAGACAGTTTATTTTCATAAACTGTTGTAAGAGTCAATTTTGAGGAAGATCAGAAGAGTGTGCCCATAGCGAATCATTCTTGTATCATAGAAAACCTCCGTCATTCTATTTATGAGTTCATTTTATTCTATTAACCCTTTGACTACTGTGGGCACCTAAAGACGCTTAGAAATCTTGCACTTGTGATACTGTAGGTGCCTAAAGGCGCTCAAAAGTTTTGTTTGTTGCTAAATTTTAAGTATGTACAGTAAGAATTTAATGCAGAATACAGAGAAATAAATAATGTTGTTTTAATACAGTAAAATATAGTGTTTTGATTATTATTTAAATATACAATAATTTCTCAGAAATGCACACCTAGCGAAAAATTAGATTAGGTTAGGTTACGGTTGGTGCGTTTTAAAGTCTGCCGTAGTCAAAGGGTTAAGAAGCCAACAATACTATTTTAACTCAATCCACCCAAAAACAATTCTACATATATACGATATTCCAACATTCGAAGTGCAAAAAGATAAGCTTTTCATAATTAGTTGAGAAGGTAGACAAAACTGACTGCCAGATTAATAGATACTTAGCCACTTATGGCGGACAAAAATTACGAGATTATTATCCGAAGTCGTTGGGTCTGACCGAACATAAAATCCCTAGCCTTTCCCCTAGTGGAAAAGAATCGTAATGAACGACAGGGCTGGAGATGACATCTCGGTTAGCTCTTACTTCCGTGGTCGGTGTTATGATTAATGGTCGGGATCGTAGAATTCGTTTCGGAAATTGTCTAAAACTGGGCGCAGTAAATAAGAATGATGCGTCACGAGCGGGATTAGGATCGGAAACCGATTGACCCAATTTATCCACGAACACCAACGACAGATGGTGGTATACGGCGAGTTTTCATTTCACGCGAATGGAAGGGACTGCGTTTCTTTCTTTTCCACTGGCCATAGAGTGGAAAAGCGAAAATTGTGCAATCGGTCGTATTCCCGACACGTGTGTAAATCTATAAGAAAACAATTCACGCAATCTCTTTTTCAATATACCTTTTTTAATGGAAGAGGAAATTCCTTTCCAATGGAAGAGGAGATATAGAGTGGCACAGAAATTGATTCGCGTGAAAGTAACGTGGTTATTTATTTCTTATTAAATACTTTTATTAAATTTCTTTTTCTTATTATTAAAGATATAAATATTAACCCTTTGCACTCGAGAGGCGCCCTTCAGCCGCCATTTGATAAAATTTCGAAGCTCGATATTAATTAACATATCAAATTTAAAATAATGTAACAGTGTGCGAGGTACTGAAATTAAATAATTCTACGTGTTAATTATTATACAATTTGTTATTTACTGTTCAGAAAATATCATTAGCTTTATAGCAGAAAATTTTTCAACTCGTACCCTTCTTTAACCAAAAAATCGTCGAGCGCAAAGGGTTAATAATAATATTTATTCTTATTAAATATTTCTTATTAAATTGCACGAGGTCAAGGAAAATATTACCGATCTTATTATTCGAGTAGTATCGTTATAATGTAATATTATCTAATATTCAACATTTATAATGACATTTTTAAAATAGCATTATTATATATTATATAAATATTCTTTTTAAATAAATATTTGGTAATGAATATTTGTAATTCATAGTTTTCAAATTCTATGTTTATTCTCTGTCTTTATTAATATATCGGATTTTTATTATATTATATTAAT